TCTTGGTAAATTTCATAGGTAATCTTTTCTTTTCTTAGATAAGCTTCAAGTGTTTGAGTATCATTTATTTTGAAAATGTAAGGAGCAATTTTTTCACCTTGTTCTTTTTTTAAAATACTTCTGATAGTACTATAATTCTTGGGTTCCATGGTAGATCTGATATAAATGAGTTTCATATTAACTATTTTTATATAGGGATAATTCTATATATCACAAATGGATATTATAAAACTGATAATTATAATCACATTACAAATGACTAAATTTTGATCCCTGAAATTCTTAGTAATACCAATGTTCACTTTGTCTGGTTTTGTTGCAGCATGCCCCATATATCAATATACACATAGATTTTTTATTAATTTTGTATTAAATACATAAACATATATGTATTGAATAAATGATCTATTTAGAATATGATAACATTAGGTTTGAAGAGGCTGTTAAGTTGTTATCACAATTTCGTGAAAACTTATTAGATTCACCAAATTCAAATCCTCCAAACTTCTTAATATTCAAAACTGCTCTCAGACTTAGTAGAGTAAATCTGAAAAAATTGGGACACATAAACCAATATATTGAACTAATAAAAAACAACCCCAAAGAACTTGGGGAATCATTGGGAACTGTTATTTGGCATTCAAGACCTGAAATACGTGAAAAAAAAAAAGAATTAGAGGACCCACAAAATCTAGATCAATATTTTAATGGATTTCCTATATACATACGTGAATTTTTTAATGGACTTCTAATTCTACTCCAACGAAAAAAATGGGAGATATATAGTTCAAAAAAAACGTAGACAAAGATTATTGGATGAAATCCCTTTCGAAACAATGCGTCCAAAAAAAATATCCATCTTTTTAATATCTGTTTTGCATTCAGTTGCTTTTCCTGGTGTTAACTTTTGGCTTAATTATGTGATGAGTTCTTTATGTAGGAGAAAAAAACTCCAAGAATCACTCTATGCAATACTTTGTATGGCCAATGTAATCTCACATACCCAAAGACATGAAAGGAAATTAGCAATGAAAAGAGCAAATGAACTTGATATTTCTGAAAAATTAATTAGAAATAATGAGAATATATGGAATTTGTGTGTGATAGATAACATAGATTTTCAAGAAAAAACATTTGGTTATAATAATATATTTGATGTTACCAGACGTACAACCCATTCTACATTGCGGATGGTTTTTCAATTCAAATTACCTCATCCTTTGTCAACAATAAGTTCAAATTCTGATCTTGTTTTAGGACATTCTTTTCACGTTGGTATGTCAACCTTTACTGAAAAAGAGATAGAACATTTTGAGAATACCTTTTCCTTACTATGGAATTTATATGGAAGAGATTTTGATGTTGCACAAGTTCAAGAAGAACTATGGAAAAATGTAGAAATAGGGTGTCTCATTGGGGTGGTCGATATACTATGTAAATCAAAACTATATGTGGTACCATATAAAAATTAATATATAGAGATTTTTTTGCAGATCCTATTAAATTGACGAATTTCATATAAAGAAATAAGCAAAATTCAAATCCTAGCTCCTTCGTAACTACCAAATAAACCTATATTAAAATTTTGTATGTGAGTGCCAAATAATATTTATAAAAAAAGTATGTGGCGATATTTTTATTTTTTTTGTTTACAAATAATTTTTATTAATCACAGAATTTATAAAAAGTGTAAAAAAAATTTTAAACTAAAATGAAAAAAAATAATTATAAAACTTTGAAGATCGGCCAAAATAGAGTAAAAGTGTAAGTTTCAAGCTTTCGTTCGATACTAGTTTTATACCTGTAGGCAAAAAATTGGTAAAAACTTTGAATATCGGCCAACATAGAGTAAAAGTGTAAGTTTCAAGCTTTCGTTCGATACTAGTTTTATACCTGTAGGCAAAAAATTGGTAGAGGAGATAAATTTTGAAAATTTAACATAGCACGAATTTCTTAAAATTACGAATTTTGTTATCAATCTTGATTTTAAAGATTTGAATATTTTTTTTTATCAATTTATCCACTCTAATTTATTTTTGAATTATTTACAAGATGCCACTATCAAAAAAAAAAAAAAATGCATATTAAAAAAATAACTCAAGAATGTGTAAAAAAGGGAAAGGTTTTAAAAATAAATAGTACAATCGCTCAAATCGATCCAAAAAATTTGCCAGTTCTTGAACGTGCTATATCTGATTTTAAAGAGGCTCAATCTTCTAATACTTCTTCTCTTTTAAATTGTCAAGAAACATTATTTAATAACATACGTAATATGACTGATGATTCTAAGTCAAATGCTCTTGATCTATTTGATAATATGAAATATCCAAAAGGAAGAAATCAAGGAAAAATTATTTCTCCTCATATACAAAAAAAAGCAATCGATTTTTTAAATTATGGATTGTATAAAAAAAAAAGCACAATTAAAGATTTGGAAGAAGAAAATAAAGAACTAAAAAGTCAAATCAAGAAGTTTGGAAAAGAAAAAGAAAAATTGATTAAAAAAACACAATCGTTGGGTGCCAGTAAACAACATTTTAAAACAAAATCTGAAAAAAGAGTTTCTACAATTAGGTCTCTTGTTCGCAAATCTGGAAATTTTTCTGAAAATGAATTTAAAAATCAAGTTAAATCTTTAAAATAAATAAGAATGAATATTCACCACAAATGGTTTGGCTTGCAACAAGAATTACCCAGGTTGGACAAGTATCAATGCATTCAACTGTAGAATGTCTACAATTAGTATATCAATTCTTAATCGGAGAAAAACCAAAAAAATGGTTATCACATTCAACATTAAGTACTTGGCATCAAGAAGTAGCCAATTTAGAAGTTCATTCAACCATTACACAACTTTCTGAAGTAAATAGTTATGGTATAATGGTTGATGAATCCACACATGGCGAAAATAAATATTTGGTGATTGTTTTTGCATTTTGGAGCTATGTAGAAAACTTTCCTCTAGCAAAAGTTATTGAATTAAAGGTAATTTCAAAGTGTGATAGTGTGACAATTGCAACAAATGTCCTTAATTTGATTGAAGAGAAGAAGCTTGATCCAAAGGCATGTTCAGTGTGGATTACTGATAATACAGCTTACATGTCAGGAAAACATAATGGTGCTGTTTTGAAATATAATCGAATGTCATCAAGTAATGCAGTTAGAATTGGATGTGGACTTCATATTATTCATATTGTACTTACAAATTTTGAGCAGGCAGCATTTGGTAAAAGAAAAAACACTATTGGTTTTTCGAGAGTAGCCCATCCATTCAATTTACTTTATTTAACATGGAGCCTCCATAATGGTTATGATTCAAGTGATAAAGATAAACCAATGAATATAACATCAAAGATTAGAAAATTATATGATTCTCTTCTTGGATATCATTTCACCCAATATCAATTACCACTACAATCACGATGGGGATATGAATTACAGACTGCTAAGCAATATCTAGAACGATGTGAAACACATATAAAATTTGCCAATTGGTTCATTAGCAAAATGGAGAATTGTCCTAAAACACCATCATCATACCTTAATGACTGGAAACTTTTTTTAAGTTGGTTGACAAGCACAAATTTAAATGTTCAAATACGTTGCTTAGTTAGATTGGATGAAATTTTCTATGAACCATTGATGCAATTTATGATTGGTCGAGATCCACATCCAAGAATTTATACAGAATCAGGATTTAAAAACCTTCCAAATGGCAGAAGAGCACATGAAATGCTAGACAAAGTTACAGAATGGTTATCATTCCTTAGAGATTTAAAAGAAAATTTTGATATAGTATTTGGGCAAGAATTATTGGAAGCACTCGAATTGCTTGATTCAGATGAATGGGGTTCATTGTATGATAGCTTAGAAAGAGGTATAATTAAGGCATTAGAACATTTTGAAAATTGGATGTTACCATGGTTACATTTACCTTTATCTATTTGTCGTCTTGGAGGAGATAATGGCCAGGCATTTGCAAGAAGCTATTATTATGTGTTTTTTAGTAAATCTTGGGTAAATGAACCTTCACAAATTGAAATTAATTATGCTGAACAGTTACAAAATGATTTAGAAAATTTTTTTACTGATGATTTTGGTTTACAAAATCGTCTGACACAAAATCAAGAATTTAAAAAAGAATTTGAAGAATTTTGCAATACACTAGATCCAACCCTTTCTAATTTTCAATTATTATATTCATTTGTAAAGGAAAAAATTTATTGTATAATCATTCATCAGCAACAAGTTGAAGGATTATTTAACAAATTAGATCTTAAAACACATGATAATATGTCAATTAATACTAAAAAAGCTAAAATTCAACTCACTAATGGTCCAATTGATAAGATAAATATAGAGAATAATTTAAATGAAATCAGAGCTCAACAAAAGAGACAAAAGTTAAATGTTTTACAAGAAAATATTCAACAACATTATGGTCAAAATTATGCAAATTCATTATATTCCAATTTATTTCAAAACTAATAATGAACATTATATTTTCTAAATAAAATTGCAAATAATATGATTTTTTGCCAATTTTTATTTTTTTTCTAGTCATCACAGTAATATTGTGAATATTTTTGGAAACTCTAAGCTACAAAACAATACAAATTTTATTTTTAATAAATATGGTTTGTAGAGTTATTTAGACCAATCTAGTAATTTATATAAAATAATAATTTCAATAACTTTTTGTTTTGATACTTTGGGTGTTTACAAAGATAATTTAGTCTAAATGAAAAAGAAAGTTAAACTTATTTTTTTTTTATGAATGAAAAACATAAATCTTTATTTATTAAAATTACACACAAATATTTTCAAAATCTATCTAGTCCACGAATTTTTTAGCCACAGTCATGAAAATAGTATCGAATGAAAGCTTAGAACACATACTCATTCACTTTATCAGCTTAGTTTTACTATGCTTGATTATAAAAACTATATTAAAAAATGATTTAAAATAAAATAATAAAACAAAAACAAAAAATATTTTTTACAAACAAAAAAAAAAGGTAAGCCAATATTTTTAAAATATAGGCCATAAACTACTCTCATACCAATTTTCGACAATAGTTTATTTGATAATTATGGAGGAGATGGAATTCGAAATTCGTTAATTTTTATTTATTAAATTTTTTGTAGGATCTGCAAAAAAAATCTCTACATATTAATTTTTATATGGTACCATATATAATTTTGATCTACATATTTGACCGACCACCCCAATGGCACATTGTCTCTACAACAGACTTGTAAACAAAATATTGTAATTTTTCTCTTCAAATGTAATTATTAAGATCTTTTTTAGCATGATAAGATAGAGTGCATAGAGAGCTTTCAGAAGTATATTAACATAGATTGTGTTGGTATTTCTGAGAGGAAAGGGAGTTAAGAACAAAGCCATTTTTATAAGATATTGTATTATTTGGTTTTCTTTTCATCAATAATCTAACTTTACTTCCTTTTCTGAGACTTTAAAATTTCTCATCTGTTTTTATATATATCTTATTTTTTAGTAAAAAAAGTCCTACTTCTTGTATTATTCCATTGACTGGTGCTTTTTTTCTAACTTCTGTTCTTGACTTTGTTATTTGTTAATTTCATCCACCAACAGTTGTAGTCTTGTTTTGTAAACTTCTTGATATAATAGACAATCTAACCCTTTTCATAACTTGTGAAGATATTTTAACTGCATTCCTCCCCCATTATATGTGCTACCCAGATCCCAAATGTACAAAGTGAATTTGGGCCAGCCTGTTAAAAAATCCCAAATCCCAAACTACTTTGTACACCCATAACATTCTGTTTCCCAATCAATAAATACCCAGGATTGTGAAAGTGAGCAACTCTTTTGTTACACTATATGCTTATTGGTTAGGAAAGCAAGGCAGAAAGATTGATCTACATTTGGGAATGTACAAGGATGTTGTATAAATGTAGGGTTTCTAGGACAAAACTCGTTTTTTCAGAGACAATTTATCAAGTTTATAGCCACAAGGTGTTCCAGAAGCCTATTTCATGAATTTCGATATCATTATTTTTTTATATCATGTATATCCACAAGGACCTGTAGGTGTTGATTTAATATCAATTTACTATGTGATGTAATCCAAGAAAAAATTTTCATTAGTTAGCAAAACTATAAATTAATAAAATTTTCAAATTAAACATTTCAGTGATCTATATAAAAATAAAACAAAAATGTTATCTTATATTACCCAAACTTTTAACTATATTGTTAAAGCAATTTCTTATCTAGATGACAGCAAAGACCTGTTCAAGGCAGGAGATCTAGTAGAGTTCAGAAAAGTGATTAAGTATATGAAAACACCAAAGTTAACTACTCAAAAGAGACCAAGAGCTAAAGCTATTTCATCTGGGAAATATGCTAAAAATAAGGGAGAAAAGGTTCCAGATTGAAGAAGGTGCATTATCCCAAAATACAATGAAATAAAGAACCAAATTTTAAATCCTGAGAGCAAGTATTACACTACTGCTAGAATCAATAATTTTATAAAGGAAATTGAAAAAATTGAATCTGAAATCAATCAAGATTGAAATTATATCTAAAACAATTAGTCCTCATAATTATTAATATTTTTTTCATCCTTTTCTACCAGGAGTTTTAGGCTGAGGAGGATCATGAGTAGGAACAATTACAAATAGATTTGAAGCTTCATATTCGAAAATTTCACCCCCAAGAAGTTATAGATTTTGAAAGCATCATCATATGAAGTTGCAGACATTATATTTATCTTCCCACTAGGCCAAATAATAACTCGAGTTTTCTTTCCATTAGATTCAAATATAATTGAAAGCTTTCTAATAGATTCAATGGCATCAGCTCTAAAGATGATTTTAAATGGAGGTGGATACAAATCACCAGCAAGAATAGAATCAAGCTTTGAAATATCAATGAGTAAATTAGAAGGTAATATCATATGATACTTAAAGTTTAATAATGAAAGATTACTTTTAATTATTTCAGCTGTTTCAAACTCAGTAAGTCCATTAGATAGTTAATGAAGGTTTGAACAGCAATTTCACCAGATTGATAGTCTTCATCAATGACCCCAAATACTTGTAAATCTCCACTTTTAGGAAAATAGCACATTCTATAATTCTTTGAATCAATTAATATGGCAAGATTGAAAACAAGACCCATCACCAACTTTTTTTTGTTCCTTGAAAGTAGGTATTGTCATCAATTTTTTCTTTTTAGCTGTTAACTTCTTGGATTGAGTAATAAAGTTCTCAAAACCTTCATAAGTCTTGTGAATGAAATTGCTATTAATAGCTACAATATCTTTATTAGGGTCAAGTTGTTCACCAAGGGTTTTATAATCAAGGTCCTTCACACTAAGTTTAATTGAATATACACAAAGGGCAAGGGTTAAGTTGCTAAATTTAATATTTTCACACATGTTTTAATATATTTTTTTTCAGAAGTATTAATCTAAATATTTATAAGTCTAAATTGAAATTTCAATATGAATACTATCACTAATCCTAAATAGAGAAGCCTTTAGATCATCATATTAAATCTGATACCACCCATGAATTCGATCTCCAACCCTCCTATGAAGCAATTTTACACAAAACATTCTAATAAGAAATCCTAAATCTTGAGGGCTAAGAGGATCAATGACTTTATCAGAATAAAATATATAGAAATCAGAAACTGATTCATCAATTTCATTCAAGAAAAAAAGATAATATCTTTTTTATAAACAAAATTAGATCACAAAGATGTCTACTCATAATGTAAAATATGTTAATGTTAAGCATATACATTTATATCTCTAAATTATAATGAATGTTAATGCTATGCGTATACATATCAAGATTTCATTATTGATCGGCATTATGTTACATCACCTAATTTTGATTAATTAGGGCATCTCACACCCCAATGGCTCATGTGTGTGCAGCTCTGGCCTCCTTGCCTTATGGCTGCAGAAGGTGATAGAACTGATATTGAAAATTATTGAACTAAATTCACAACCTTCTAAGATCAATGTTGAAACTATTTTAATTCATAACAAACATTTATCACAGTATATATTAGTATGTTTTTATTATGGTTATAGATAACTAATCAACGTTTATTGCACTATTTATAATATATGCACTTGTTACTATATGGTAATAGTAATAGCAAATATTTTGAAATGTATAAACAGTGTTCAATTTGTACCAATTATAATAAACCATACCATAATAATCGTGATAATAATAATAAGCCAAAACAAATAAGATCAGAAATCGAATTTTTTAAAT